AGTTCGATGACACAGCTCGAAGATGATCATGGCATAGAGGCCTACCAATACGGCTGCGGCCATGAAAATTGGACGGGAGGAGGACTTCCCGAGCTCCTTCCCCGATGCTTCCTCCGGCTCCGTGGTACTCATAACAATCTGCAAGAACATTCACAAGTTTTCATATGACCGATTTCTCCTTGCATGGAGATATGCTCCTAGATCAGCGGGATCCGCGGAGTCCCAAGAAAGTTTCCGCTCATTTCTACCGAGCTCAATGAGGAACTTAGATTTACATACCACAGTGAATACCATCACTGCAGTTAGGGAAGAAATTCTGAGAATTCTTCCCCAGTCCCTGTCCTGGCATCGCTCCAGGTCCTCCCATCGGTATGGAGTTTCTCCGCTGGGACGTGAGATTCCCCGATGCTGGCCACCTGCAATTACTGAGCTCCGTATCTTCGGAACGTATGTTCTTCTGTGTCTCGCAGTATACTCTGAAACCATGACTCATCGAGTCTAGGACAAAAGACCCATATCGTACTGATGAATGTAGGACTTGCCGAAGGCGTTCCTTACCGCTTTCGGCCAACAAGGGCGTTCTCTCTGAGAGATGTATCCGATCCCTCGGAGTATCTGGCGGAGACGACATCGTTCCCTCCAAACTGAAATAAGGAAATTCGCTCAACACGTAATTCAATGTCGATCGTTTCGTATGGTCTCTCTGCTCAGAAGATTCTTACCTGGAGATGTCTTCGTATTCCTCCACGTGAATTCGACACTGTGAGGGAGCGTTATTCCTGATGGTCATTGTCGACGAGCACGAGGGGTCGGGTACAAGATTGGGTCTCGTTTGGGCGTCTATTCGACAACTCTTCCGTCTTAAATCCGAGATTGAGTTGAGTGTCACTCGGTGCAATTAACTTTCTGGTGTCGAGAGTCGGAGGATAACTGAGACTTAAGGAAGACAGGCAACTGCAACAAGGCTTTATTGAAGAAGATTTTCTCTCCCCTCTCTCAGGAGAGTCGAGGAACGCGAGTACGGATGAGTCATGCTACGGCGAACACTCTGCCATAACTTCGCCGACTCGGTGAGTTTTCATAAGGATTTGAATCAACTAGTTTCCCGGAGGTGAGGACCTTGGACCCCTCGAAACTCTCAAAGAACATCCGCGATGAGTCACCGCCACTATCCCTCATCTCGCAGGCGGGACGACCATGCGGGATGCAGTTGCTTCCGATCAGGTCCATTCGTCGATTCGGAGCCGAGTTTGAGAGCTCATATCGACTGATAGAGTATTTTGACCCCGACGAAGTACGAAATTCGCAGAAGCATCTGGACGCGCCATGATTCTTGCTCGATGCATGTGAACAGAGAGCCGATAGATAATGATTCACGTCGCAGAAAGATGTAAGAGGACATGATCCCGGAATCGAGGGACGCATCGCTCAAGGACGCATATATGGCGGACCGGGTATCGGATCCGGCCATATCAATCAGACAAGAATAATTCCATAGTCAAACTATTACATATATTTGAGGTGTAGAATCTTTCTTCAGAAAATTTAATTCAATGAATCGCAGGTCCACTCAGATTACCCTCTCGGCGTCAATCAGGCAGAGGAATTGTGGAATTGGGAGAAGTTCAAATCCGTTGACGAAGGAAGACCTCTTGCGGAGATTTGAGCACTTGCAGGGGGACTTCTTGCCAGGGAAAGCGAGCTTTATGTAGAATCCATGCTCCAATCTCCAGAATCCGCATGGGAGCGATCTCGGTGGTAATCGTTCTGCCTCCAGCAGAGATAATTTCGAACAGTGCGGACTTCAAGCGAGCATCTCACAATATCCATATCGCATGCAGCGGAAAGGATCTCTGCCTTAGAGAAGATCCACGGTCTGGAGTGGGCTCTCGGTATATCGTTTTGGATTGTGGAGAAGTGTTTCCCGAAAATCACAGCCGGCCGAAAACAAATCATCCTTTGCGTCTCACAGATTGCGCTCGTCATTGTCCTTGCCTCGATGCTTCAATCGATTCTGTTGTGCGAGAGCTCGAGATAAGATTCCAGGGCCGCAAAAACGGAGGTGGCGTAATGAATCCCGGAGGAGTTCAGATTACCCGCGAATCGGCGCCGCTAAGGAACTCATACCGGCCGGCTTGTGAAGGTCTGGGAATTCGTACACCGGAAAGTCGTCCCCTCAAGCTCCGGAACCACACGACTTTTGTGCTGAAGTTGCAGCACGGTCTTTAGGAGCGAACACCAAGTTGGAAACAGAAGGGAACGCAAGGAACACGAAGTCAAAGGAAAAGTCGCCCCTTCACCGGCTGGACTGATCGTACTGAGAATCCACGTGCCGTCGCCGTCATCGTTGCCGCTCTGATTGCATAGAAGCTCTGACCACCGGCGAGTCCCTGTGAATTGCTCGATGGAACTGTACAGAAAGCACAGGGATCCTATCTGCTCGATGGGCCTCGCACATGGATTTCCGGCTGGAGGACTCGACCAGTTCAGGGGTCATAGTCTTCCTCGAGGCGTACTCGAGCAAATCGTACTTTCTCCTAATCTTTCGAGCGACCAAGCAAAGGATCTTAGTCCTCCCAGTCGATATTCCGGAGGACCCTCTTCCATGACTCATTCGAGCATATCCTCCGACGAATTCTTCCGAATGGCAGCGCCTAACTCAGGGAGGCAATCGTTCCAGTGAGAAGAGAGTTTCACTTCAAGATTCCCATTGGACAGCCGACGAACCCTGTCTGCAGAGGAGCCAACAGAGGAGAGCCAATCGGGAAGCAATTGCTAGCAATTGATCTGATCCTTCAGCGCTTATCACAAACAATGCTCCGATGATCGAACTCATATAACAAAACGCTTCCTCTTCCTGCATAGCAACCTTAAAGTCTCTGCTCACCGAGCACGGTACCGAGTCGATTCCGACGGGGTTTTTTCTCTCGCGTTGTTCCATAGCTGACCGCGAGTCAGGTATCACGTGTGGCGCGAGCATCACGGCTGACTCACGAGGAAATAATTCATCAGACGTTCGGGACAGGATACTTGAGACTCGCCAGCATTCTACGCCGTCCGGAGAGCAGTCGTTACTTTTCCTGTAGGTTCGCGAGGATCCCCTGATCAGCGTACGTTTTCTTGACGATGATTCGACCGCGAGGTTCTCCATGTCGAAGAGCTTGAAACGTTGAATGTCCCGTGGGGCATGGAACCGGGAGCATGAACCATGAGGATTCTTTTCCGATATCCGGGTAGTGACTCCGAGTTCCCAAGTTAGCAAGAAGACTTGGGTTTCCTTACTTAGGGAGGAGACTCGGGTTCCCCAAATGAGGGCGGAGCCTCGACCAGCATTACTCATCCGGATTCTGTGTCTTCACGCCTTCAGTTTCCGAACAAGTCCGAGTTTTTTCGAACGCCACAGGACGACGAGAATTGAGCATAGGGAATTCATTCGCAAGGAAACCTCTCCTTTTAAACCTCCATAGGTCCTGCTCGGAGGAGCTTCAGAAGGACTCGCAGAAGGCTATTAGGGGCATTGCATTGCTTAGAGACCGTCAGAGTTCGATGCCTCCGGCTCGGGAATATTTGTTCAGAAGAGTTTGTTGAGTTTAGACACAGTTTCGAGACCATTAGCTATGCCTCATACGCAAATCTTACTACAATAACTTCAATAATTCATGCACGGATTGTAACGCAATAACTTCAATACTTTATACACATCTCGAATTCAATCATTACACTATTCCATACACAAGTCCGAATACAATAACCTTTTGCTTCATTCTAACAATCCTGATTTATTCCTTGACGCACAATTCCAGATACCTACAGCTTCATCTTTACACTTTACATGAGCACACGGATGTGTGCCTACCAGAATCGGACAGATAATATTCAGTGCCATCCCATACCGATGTGAGTTAGAAGCAACCAAGCCGACGCAAGAGTTGTCGATACCACCATCACCGGGAACCCGACCCTGCAAATAAACATCGAAGGAATTGAGCGATCGACCTTAGTTAGTCCATCCTCGAAGGGCCATTCTAGGAAACCCCGCTGCCTCCCGCGAGGTGCACCGGGGGTGTACTCGTGATCGATCCAACTGACTGGACAATGATAATTCACGTAGTCGACAAACCTGAAGAAATCCATGAACAATATCCGGTAACCATGGTGTTCGGCTACTCCGGCGCAGACGACGTTGGCCGATGCGCCGATAAGGGTTCCATTGCCGCCGAAACAAGCCCCGAAAGCGAGAGCATATATCAGAGGCTGAATGGGGATATTCAGGTCCTCGGATTCGCCTGAAAGTATAGTCAAATACAAATTTGGCCTTGATGCCCATGCTCTGCGACTGCTGGAAAATATCCAGTATCGAGAAACTCTGAGTCCTGGCACTCACCGAGAGACACCACGATCTTCAACATCACCGTCGATCACGCTCTTGATAAGCAACGGTCGGTTCCGTATCTTGTACTGCAATTCGAGAAAGTGATTACACCAAGGCCACATCTATTCCCGGTCTACCCCGTTTGGCGGCCCCATGTCATACGGAAAAGATTTCCCCTAAGCGAATACTCACCTTGGACGAAAGATCCTCAAGTACTCGCTCGAAATCAAGGTCCGATGCATCGTTCGACTCTGATTGCGAGAGCTTGCTCCCGACATTTGAGAGCTCGAAGGATTCGCCTCGGGACTTGCCAAGCGATGAATGTCTCGCTTGATGCCATGAGTCCGTTCCGCGCTGTCCGTCGACGACCTTCGGAAGATGCAAGTCATATTTTCCTTCGTTCTCTATTTGTGTCGCGCCACCTACGCCTGAAGACCTCTGCGGACCCATTGAGAGGAACATCTTTCTTACCTGTCGAGATTGTTTGCGCAGACTGCGGGGATCTCTGTACGTCACTCTCAGGAATAAGTATACACCGAAAGCACTGAGGATTACACCAGGCAGTAAGTGTAAAGTGGAAGTGGTGAAATTTATTCCGCCTGCAGAGTTCCAGAAGGAAAATATTACTTTGGTGGGAATGAGGCGTATCACCCATGATTTATGCGTCATTCACTCAGAGTTCTGCAGAGTATGCAGATTCCTCCCTGCTCTAGTCGAGCGAGGGAGCAGACAATGCAGACATCTTGCATCCTACCAATGAATTATAAAAATGTGAGCTCACTGGCCAACACTTTCAAGTTTGAAATGATGATGACATTTGGCGGGTCTCCGATGGGTGTAGCTGACCCCCCGACATTCGAGAACATGACCAACATCATGAGCACTTTCTTCGGGTCCAGGTCCATGACCTCACACAGCCTGAACGGAGGCGATGGGCAGAGGTTAGAAGGAATGCGACAACATTGGACTCGGGAGAAGCGAGATCTGGGCTGGGGAACGAGCCTGGCTGGATCTTCCAGGGTCGGTGCCCTCGAGAAATTAAGATGGGCCAGAAGTAACGACTCGCATCGAAGATTTTACCTGATGGTCACGGCTGTCAGCAGAAGCATGGTCGCCACGTTGTCCAAGAAAGCAGAAATGACAGCGGTGAAGATGCACAAAACCGTTATCATCGGCCATACCTTGCCCTTGGACAACCGGAATGCGAGAACGGCCACATAGTCGAAGAAGCCGGTCTCCCCGAAAATCCCGACGATGATCATCATGCCTGTTTTGTGGATTGTATTGATGTCGAATTAGATTCTCATGTTCATACCCGGACTGCCAGAAGAAGACCTTTCGCGTTTCTTGCCTCCGCAAGCAAAATCGAAGATATTTTTCCACCCACCGAATAGGAGACTCAAGGTTTCAATATCGAGCCGTGACAGACCCTCATTGAGGTCGGGGCATTTCCCGACCAGGGCTAAGCAGGAGATAGCCGCCGCCGCTCCTGTGGAAGGGAGGATCGTCGTCATTTCTCGCCTCGTTTCATCGAGCGAAGAGAGAGAGCGACATCGAAAGAGCCTGGAGACATCTGACATTCGAATAGGCATCACACTTATCAGTGATAGATTTCGGTAAACTCACCGAGCATTGCCGCTATAGTTCGATGACACAGCTCGAAGATGATCAAGGCATAGAGGCCTACCAATACGGCTGCGGCCATGAAAATTGCACGGGAGGAGGACTTCCCGAGCTCCTTCCCCGATGCTTCCTCCGGCTCCGTGGTACTCATAACGATCTGCAAGAACATTCATAAGTTTTCATATGACCGATTTCTTCTTGCATGGACATATGCTCCTAGATCAGCGGGATCCGTGGGAAATCCGCGGAGTCCTATGAAAGTTTCCGCTCATTTCTGCTGAGCTCAATGAGGAATTTAGATTTACATACCACAGTGAATACCATAACTGCACTAAGGGAAGAAATTCGGAGAATTCTTCCCCAGTCCCTGTCCTGGCATCGCTCCAGGTCCTCCTATCGGTATGGAGTTTCTCCGCTGGGAAGTGAGATTCCCCGATGCTGGCCACCTGCAATTACTGAGCTCCGTATCTTCGGAACGTATGTTCTTCTGTGTCTCGCAGTATACTCAGAATCCATGACTCATCGAGTCGGGAACAAAAGACCCATATCGTACTGATGAATGTAGGACTTGCCGAAGGCGTTCCTTACCGCTTTCGGCCAACAAGGGCGTTCTCTCTGAGAGATATATATGGTCCCTCGGAGTATTCGGCGAAGACGACATCGTCCCCTCTGA